GCTGTGGGGGACCACAGACCCGACCCGCAAAGCCGGAAGCCGACATAACGGAGACCAGCGCCAAAGACCCCGAGAGGGCCAAGCGCACAGCCCCAGAGACACCCGCGCCGGAAGGGCCGCCCATCCACCCCCCAAAGGGGACCACAGGAGAGAAATGGGAGAGCCCCACCAGCGACCACACACAGTCACCCCTGGGGCCAGCAGCGACGAACTCACAGGCCCCGCCGGTACCCACCGCGCCAGAGCGGATCCAGGCATGGGCACAGAGGCCCGGGCCCACAGGGCACACCCCGCCCCCCCAGGCCAAGGCCCGACAGGGCCTGAGGGACCCAAGCCCCACTGGGCCGAGTGGCAAAGGCACAACCCACCAGAGGGCAGCGCGGCAGGGGAGCAATGGGCCCTCAAATGATCCCGAAGAAGGGGCCGCCCAAGTCCCAGCCTGACAAAAATACAAGCATATACAAACACAATCGCACAGTCCCACCCTCAGGTCCAGGATATGCACCCACACCCTGAAGAGGGCAGCTCACACCCGAACCCAGGAGGTAGACCCCTTAAATCTGGGGTGGAGAAGAGCAGACAGCAAAGTCCCGGCCCGGGCCACACCAGTCCGACCGACCAGCCCCCAGCCCCAGTGAAGCCACACCCCGGACCACCCCACACCCTACCAACGGCCAGGTGCCCACCCCCAACCAACCACCCCCCGGACCCTGGCAGCCACCCCAACCAGCGGGCCAACCACAGCAACCAGGAGCCAGACTCCGGGAGCCCGAACAGCCCCAGGGAAGCTGGAGCCTCCGGTACCCTTCCAAGCCCCATGTCTACCCGCAGCCCAGGCCCCACCAGACGGTCAGCACCCCCTCAGGACCCTATCCCCAGATGGCCAACGGGGAACAAGGGAGTGAAAAAGACCCCGACACACACACCCCCACCCTCAGATGTACTGATGATGCGTGTTGTTCTATAATGCAATTAAAACGGGGAAGAAGATGGGGCAGAGGCCAGCACTATGCCAGTTTCCCCTCCACCCCAACTCTAACCAGTGTTTCCCCTAGTAAATTGGTCTTGGCGGGGGTGGGGTTCTTGTTTTATAAAAACATAAATTTACGCGACTCACCTGCAATTTTGGTAATAAATTTACACGTACAYGAATATTTAATTGCCAAACTACATCCTAGTTAAGGACTCCTCATGATAATTATCAATAAAATTATTATTGATAATAA